ATTACCATGTTTGTCTATTATTAGATAGGATGTTGAAAGAAAAAAGTCAAAAGCTGTATAGAAGAAAGAATATGACTTCGGAGTCATAAGACATAATTTCAAATGCAGACTTGAATTCTTCTATGTGATCTTGGATAAACAAGAAATTTATTTGGATGACCCTTGGTTGAGAGGCTTAAGTAATATTAGGATCAGATGCCTGACATGGAATCCTGAACATAGTAAGAGACCTATAAATATAATTCATTTTTCTGACATCTTTATTTGTTCAACAGATATTTTAAAGCAGCTACGTTTATGCCCTAGATAATGTATTAGTCAGTATGGGCCACATTGCCTTGCTGTAATGAAGACCCCCCCAAAAAAAATCTCAGTTGCTTAAACACAACAAAAGTTTACTTCTTTCACTAACTCAAAGCCTGCTGCATGTATATGTAGTTTTATGGGGCACCTCTCCTCTATGTATCAATCCAGACCACCTCATTCTCTGAAGCTAACCATCTTAGGTTAAAACAAGACTTCTGTAAGGATCCCTGCAGCAGAGAAAGCTATGCAGAACTGCTCTTAGATGTTTCCAACTAGAAGTGACACACATCAATGGGCTTGCAACCCATTGGTCAGAACTGGTCCTGTAGCCTCCTCTCCTTCAAGGGGATAAATGTGCAATCTGTGTGCTGAAAATGAGAAAAGAACCAGGTATTGATGAACACAAGCAGTGTCAGCCACTACTTGGCAAGCCACTGGGTGCTTAGTAATGAACAAAACAGACATCATTTATCTTTCTCTCATGGAGCTCTCAATGCAGTGACATGCTGCTAGCAAGGCTACAGCATCTCTATGGAGCCAGGTTTCTACCCAGGCAAGGCAAGGAACTCGATCAAAGAGATTGCATTCAATAAGTGTAAAGTCATGTGGGGAAATAGGAACGGGGAACCCTTGAGTGTAAGTGACGAGTATGGCGAACTTAGCAATCCTCAATAAATATTTACTCAATGAATGTTAAGTGTGGACTAGGAAGAAATTTAGCTCTAAAAAACTAAATGGGAAAGCAACAGAGAGAGAACAGATATAGGAGAAAAAACACATGGGAACAGTTTATGCTTTTCAAATGTTCTGAATAATATTTGGGAATAAAAGCTGTTCCTGCTATATCTGCTGCTTCCAGTAGCCTGAAATATTTCCATGCTGGTCTCCGCTGCCATAGTCGGGCTGAGGAAGAATGAGTCCCAGCCAGACTGTTTCATTCTTACGACTCAAGAATGTAGGGATTGTGGGGAAGCTTGGACCCTGACTCACCTTCTAGAATATTTTATGATGAATCAGGTTTGCTCAATGGGCAGCTGTCATGTAGAGGGGTCACAGGAAATGAGGAATTATGCTACTGTAAACACTGAAAATGTTAACAGAGCTAAGCACAAATCCTGTGAATACCATTTTATGGCAGAATGTTAGAGGTGGTTCCTTAAAATATTAAAATGATTTATATTTTTTAAAGTTTGTTAAAAATAATAGAAAGCATGTGAAAAAAAGAAACATGTATAATGCAGTGCTTAGAGATAATCCTTGTTAATATTTTAGTACAGTTCATTCCAAACTTTCTTCTAGGCACATACATTCATCGTATAAAACAGAACATATAACAAATACTATGTCACTGCCCTTTTACTTAACAGCCTTATCATCTCATTGGGTTGTTTAGAGATGGCCACCATGATAAACAATGCTGTTATGAAGGTACTCTGGCTGAATTTCTGTGTACCTCTTTAATTATTTCATAGGGTAATTTTTCTAAATTGGAATTACTGGGGCAAAAATTATATATATTTTAAGACTTAATTATGTACATTACCGAATTGCCCTCTAAAATATCATTTCAATTTACATTCCTACCAGCAATGGATGAGAGCGGAAGAGTGTTTAGGGAGCATGGACGTCTCCAGGGGATTGAATATATTGTGAATGTGTGTTTAATCTTGACAGCTATTGACAGACAGGGCCACTCATCTTATGTTTAATGCTATGTGCTAAAATCATGAGAGTTTCACATTAGACTTCTTAGAAAGGACATCAAGACAGACACATATTCTGCTGAATGGGTTCATTAGTGTCACGGTGCTGGCATAAGATCCATGGACGGCCCATTGGGTATCTGGAATGAGTGCCTTTTTGGACAAAAAAATTCTGAGCTCTGCCACTGCTATGTCCATGCCTGGGTGTATGGCTGTGGCTAAATATCTGTGTGCATCTTTAATAATTGTCTAAATATTAGGCAATTTTCCACTTTCTAAAGAGAAAAATCCAGAAAAAAATGTCCGCTAAATTGACTATGGGACATAGAAGAAATAGTCGTGTGTCTACCTGTGTTAAGTAATCTACTAATTTATACATAAATAATACTTCAAAGCACAAAACATGTAGCATATTTTTAGAAGTATTGCTCTTTTCCCACCCTTATAGTTCATCAAGCCATTTTAGTCCAATACCACCTCCAAAGGCTTCTTGACCTCAGAAAAGTGCCACCTTTTCAGGCAGCGGGCATGTCCCCATCCCCTGCCATCTGGAATTCAGTCTGAGTGGTGTGAGGTGCAAGACTTGTGAAACTGTATGATGCCAGCACTGGAAATCTCCCGAACTATAAACACCCGCTTGCTACTCATGGTCTTCTTAACCACTATGATTAAACAATTTGAATGTTGACGTTATCGGTATCACCTCTCCTCCCCCTTTCGCCAGCCTCCACCAATTACATGTTTTTGACAGCATCCAACTCTTCGAATTGTTAGGTGATGTCCCCACAAATAATCCCTAGCCCAGTGCAGTATCAAATTCCTTTGCTTCCTTTTTCACCAGGGATTCACTGCTCATCCAGAATGCTCATCAGTGGACACTGTTTCCGGTTAATGCAGCTTCCCTAAACAGAACTGGGTTCAAAATAATTGAGAGAGTGCCTGGTATTATGAGAAACTTTATAAGAACTTTAGTATAACATGCTTCTTTTTCTCAGGGATAATTTTGGGTAAGAAAAAAATCTCACCTTACATTCGTCCTTACAGTGTAATCAAAAAAGGAGGAGATTCATACAAATCTCTTTTGTGTTCTTATGCAAAGTGACTATTGAATATGAAAGCTTTTGTTCACCAATAAAAATTACCTTAAAAGTACAGTAGGATTGTCATGCATTTATCTCTTATTAAAACACTGAAAATAGAGATTTATAAAGCCTGCCTCTTTGAAAGCACATTGGAATCTTTTAAGAACTATAGCTTCTACCCAACTAAACCTCCTCTCAACCCCAAACCACAGCTACATTTACTTTAATACAAAACAAACAAACAAAACACCAGCAGGAAATATTTAGAATAAATACTCTCTTGGGGATCCATAGCCAAAATTTTTGGAACTCAAAATAAAAAATTTAGAGAAGCTAAGTGGCTAAATGTCCCTATAGTGTTACTCCCTCTTTAAGATATATTATGTTGTATTGTTTCCATTCTTTTCATCTAAGTATTTCCAAAAGAATCAAACTAAAAGAACACATTACAGATTAAGTGGCAGCTATTTGATTGGTATGGGTGGAGGTAGCAAGTGGTGTACTCTTTGCTCTCGAACTGTTTGGGGTCTTTTTGTTGCCTGCAGCAGTAGTGTGTGTATTTGAGAACTATCCCAAAACTTCCCCATGGTACATGTATGTAACCCGCATTATCTTAAAAAGACAAGAGCACTTTGCCACTGCATTCTTTATTATATGCAGTAAGTCAAACTGAGCAATATAGAGCTTAAAATAACTTGTTACTGAATTCTGATCCTGTAAGAATTTACAATTGCATGAGATTAGAAATGCCATTTTTAAATGTTATTCAGAAGATGCATTTGTTTTAATTCTTGATACTGAAAATATTGACTGAATTGTGAATTAACATATTTAGGTTTGCAGATGTCATTTTTCATGAGATTTCTTAAATGATGTAATTTTCATATTTTATATCTCAGTTTGATCAATTTACAGATTTATTTTTACATAATTAGTTGGTAAATGAGAAATTCAATTGCTGATATATAACTATTTCTCTGTGATATAGAAAATAAATTAAAATTCTGAATTATAAATAAAAAACAAATATTTTGAAGACATCTGGTCCACATCTGTGTGAAATAAGATAATTTAAAACAGTGTAATTAAATGCAAGAAATACTAGAATATTCACACCTTAGAATGTAAAAAATAACTCACTTCATTTTAATATGATTTCTTAAATTGTTGGGTTTTTTTTATTTTAGTGTCCTTTAGTCTCTCATTCTGTCATTGCAATGAAGACTGACAAGCTAAACAAACAAAAATAAGCCATGTTTTTTAAAGCCTGTATGAAATGAAAGAATTATATGTCAACTCACCTCCACTCCTAAGTTAATATCAGTGGACTTAGACTCAGGCCAACCCCTTTTGATGTATTTATAATTCTCCATTCAGTTATTTGAAATAGAGATTGGTGAGAGAGTCTGTAGTCTCACTTCCTAAATCATGTATTCCTTGTGGACACCAAGGGCTCAGCGACTGCGAGGGGAAGGTATTCACACTCATGGAAATGGCAAGCATCTTTGGTACATCCTCATGATCAGCAGAGCCATCCTTTGAAGACGGGTCTTTTCTTCTTAAAACCTGTGTTAAGTGGGAAATTAATCATTTTAGGGGAGAGGAAACTACACTAGCCTTTCTATAATCTAACAAAAAAATGCGAAAAACATGATAGACTTTTCCTTTAATAAAAGGCTGCAGACCCTTAAAATTCAATAGGACTGGGTGTTGATACATGGCAAATAATATTTATGAAAAAATTCAGTGTTGATGCGACAATATAAGGTGATGGGGGAAATCTCTGCTTGGACACCAGAGACTCTCCTAACAATGGACCATGAAAGGAACTGATACTGTGAGAAGTGAAAATGCTTTTCCTAACGCAGACCCTATGGTATCACAAGTTATATTTTGTGTTTATTTCCAGGGAGCATGATAAAGATCCCGAGAGTTTTTTTAAGGTATTAATGCACCTTAAGGACTTAGGACTCAATTTCCACGTATCCGTCCTTGGAGAAACCTTCACAGATGTTCCAGGTATCTATTTTGAATTTTCTCGTGTGTATTTTTATAGATGGCATAAGCACTACAGATTACATATTAACTTCCATGTTTCCCTTTGTTAGAATAATCAAGATGAGCACTGTTAACCAAAAGATTATACAATGGCATTAAAGTGGGATTCAATTAAAAAAAATACTTAAGTAAGCATTCTTTGACTTAAGTCAAGAACGTGAAGTCATCTCTTTTATCAGATATAGTTTATACAATGCAGCTAGATGTAAGTACAATATATTGCTTTAGGCATCTTCACACTTAAGGAAAGTGGAAATTTGTAATTGGATATACAACCTCTCACCTCTGGGATCATTGGCTTGAATCCTACTCACGTGGTGATGGCTGAAATGTATTACCATCTGTTAGGTGGCCTATGTAAAGCATTTTGGCGTCAAACGTGTAATGTAGAGTAGGCCACAGCCCATATTATTGTTGTCATTGGTCCATACGTATTTATTGAACTTGAGAAAATTAGCAAAAATCCTAAGCACTTAAGTATTTGTGTTTTTTAAGCTTTGGATGTTCAGCATTTTTTAACTCCAAATAGACAGATAACTAAAGTTCAGAAATGACCTTTACCATGGAGCATTATAACTCTTAAAGACCACTTAAGGTTTACTCTCACTTAGTAGTACTTCTCATTCTGATTCAATGCTAAGAACTACACCCAGCCTGTATGTCCCTAGCCTCATCTGATATGGCTCATCTTATGCCCTCTGGGCTTGTGGAGACCAATCTTCCTTCTGTTCCTCTAAGGCCCCTGGCTTCCTTAGACCTTTGGGCATTTGCCTGTTTGTTTCTATGTTATCCTTTTGCTCTTAGCTCAGGGGCATTTTCTTTTAATATGAAGCTTTATCATAGTCTCATGGAACCTATACTTCTACTTCATGGCGCTTACCTCAGTTTCTAATCTTACAATTATGTGTAAATGTTTATCTCACCCCTCCCCACCCCACCCCCCGACCCCCCCACACACACTATGTAGGTGCTTCAAGGTCCAGGATTATGTCTGTCTTGTTCTTTGCTATACCCCAAACCAAGTGCAGTGTCTGGCACAGCTCTGGAACTCAATGAATATTTGTTGGGTAAATGCATAAAAATAATGTAAACTTCCTGCCCTCAAGCAATTATTTTTGTTCAGGAAGGAACACTTGTGCATAGCACAAGAAACAGAGAGTTAAATGCAAAATTATATAATTACTAGAGGTCTGAGGCACAAAATTCATGCAAGAGAAGGCCTTCCTTCCCCCAGCTGCCAGCACTGGCTTCCCCCTGGCACTGGGTCCCGGGCTTCCCTTGCAGCCCCAGCTTTGTCCAGAAGGTCATCTGGAAGGACATCTGGTCTAATTAGCATATTATGCTTTTATTATTATAGATATGTTAGTACTGACATATGTGGTTTAGAATGAGTTGTTAGTTGAATAGCCAAGAGATTAGGATATTTCAAAAGTGGAAACAACCTAGGCAAAGTATATAGAAGCAAGCATTTTAGATACTGTATGAGAGAATAATTTTAGTGATTAGTGCTATGAGGTCACTAATCTAAGTAGAATAGGAGATTCAGCACACAAACCTAAATAAGTAAGTATTATGCTAAGCGAAATAAGCCAGTCAGAGAAAGACAAGTATCACATCATCACACTCATATGGAATCTAATGAACAAAATAAACCGATGGACAAAATAGATCCAGAGACATAGAAGCATAGAACAGACTGCAGAATCTCAGAGGGAAGGTGGGGGTAGCTGAGTAGGAAGAGATCAACCAAGGAACTTGTATTCATAATCCGTGGACACAGACAATAGGGTGATGAAGGCCTGGGGTAGGAGGCAGGCTGAAAGAGATCAATGGGGGAGGGGGGGGAGATAGGGGGCATATAATACTTTAAACAGTAAAGATTTATATAAGACTTAAGAAAATTTATATATAAGTAATGTGTGCCTTACATAGGTAGGGTAGGGTCTATGTAGGGAGGATCTTAATAACCCAAGTAGATTAGGTAAAGATAAAAAAATAAGATCTTGAACAGGGAAGAAGTATGATGGAACTTGTGTTTTAGCAAAGTCTGTCTTGCAGTGCCATTCAGGCAGAATCGCAGTAAGACTCACCAGTAGTCATCCACGTGTGACTCTGTGAGGTAGTGGCTGATAGATTAGTGAGCCCACTGTGTGAGAGAGACACTCAAGGAAAACACAGAAAATAATTTGGTTGATGCGTGGCTGTAAAGAAAGAAGGAAGAAACAAGCAGCCCATTTGCAGCACAGCTGAGTTCAGTTTTACTTGTGTCAGTTGATGAGTTAGGTGGCTGGAGGATGTCCCTTTGCTGAAGTCTCCTGGGCCAGTTCTATGGAGAGTTTGTAGGCTCCTACCACAAACAAGAGTAGGATTTTACTCAAAGGGCTGTGTTCTTGGCCTCACTGTCTCCCCTCGTACATTAGCATTGAGTTATTTAGAGCAGCACGAAGGACTGAAAGTGAGGTGGGGAGCAGTGAAGGGCCCAAGTACTGAGTGCTTAGTAGTTACAGGTCGATCTTATTCCTCACCTCAGCTTCATTCCAACATGTTTTCACTGAGCACGTGGAAGGGGGATCCATGGTGAGCAGGACAGAGTCTCCACCCTCGGAGACCTCTGCCTTGGGAAGACACGCATGTAACTAATAGGTTCTGAGGATGCTGTGAACCAATTAAAGAAGGCTGGGGCAGCCCCCAGACAGGGGCATCATACCATCTATGTACTTGCTTCTGTTCTTCCTAGCCTCACGGGGCTCTTTCGGCCTCAGCCTCTGGTCCATCTCTGGCATTTCAAATATAAATGGACTCTTTTTGTGGCTACAGCACTTCACCTTGCCCCACAGGAGGAGCCTGACTTGTGCGGATGAATGAGCCTGATGGCTTTCCAGGTTGTGCTCCTAGAAGGCCACCTCGCCCGGCTTCACACTAGACGTGTCCTAACAGGCCACCCTGTGTAACGTCAGCCATTCTTGTCACCATTCTGGTTTATTTAACGAGCCCTGTATTCCAGGCAATGTTCTAAGCCTCGTTCTAAGCATCGTTCTCCATTTTTTTTCCCTCAGGTGGGGAAACTGAGGCTTAAAGAAATTAAGTAGGATCACACAACTAGGTAGTACTTTAACCACTACTTTCTGCTACCCTTCCATGTTCTTGTTTCCTGACCCTAAATTTTCTGCAAGTGTCAACATTCTTTTTCCCCAAGTCACCATCCAGCACCCCACAGAAAGGGCTGCCTGGCAGGCATGCACTTCCTTGCCTGGTGCCTCATCAGCTTGTCTAAAAGGCATATCATACAACCAGTTTCCATACTGTTTAACATCAGCCAGAAGAATGACTTTCAATGTTGTCAGCAATCCTACCTATGTAATTGGTAAGGAAGTGGTTTTCTTATAAAAAGTTGCAGTCATGATTATTCTATTAATAGCTACTATTTATTGACAGTTGTTTCTTACTTGGCCTTTGCCAGTTTAGTTTTGTGTAATGCTCATGACAGCCCCATTGGAGGAGGTGTTATTGCCCCTCTGTTAGGTAGAGAAACGGAGACTCCTAAAGTGGTCACATTAATTGCATAGCCTGTGAGTCAAACTTTTCTCTTTCACACACAAGCACACATGTATTGAAAAACCAAGAATATATATGACTGCAAGAGCATTAATTACTTTTTTCTTGAGATATGATTTATGTATAACATCATATATGTTCAAGATGTACAAAGTGTTTAATTTGATATATCGCAATATGAATGATTACCACCATAGCTTTAGCTCAGACCTCTATCACGTCATTTCTGTTTTGTGGTGAAAACATTAAAGTTCTAGTCTTTTAGAAATTTTTCAATATTTAATACAGTATTGTTGACCATAATCACCATTAGATCTCCAGAATGTAGTCTTCTAGTTTCGAGTTCGTACATTAATGACTCTTTATCCAACTTCCTTCCTCTTCACTCTCCGCAGAGCTCTTAGGGCGAGCTAGCGCATGTCTGAGTGGTGCCATCAGTGCCAGTGAGTTGTTCTGCCCTTTGTGATGAAACAAACAATTTCCATTAATTTTTTTTTGGAAAATGGTAAAATTATAATAGAGCAACTTTGTAGAATCTCCATACAGTTGATTATTTTCAAGTATGCCTTAAGTATTTTTAAATTATGTCGTAAGGGCTTTATAATCCTTTCTCTGAAAAATGAGATCGATTCAGAATACTGATTTGAGTTTATAGCTCTTTGGTGTCATTCTTTCTTTTGACAAAAGAGGAGAGAGATCTAGGACAGTGACGGCTCCAGGTTCTCACAGCTGGGCCATGTGTGGGACTGGCAGCAGGGGATGGTAAGGTTAGGAGAGAACCTGGAGTTGGTTTCCTCATCCCAACTCATTCCTGTATGTGTTCAATAAATGCTGTTTTAAATATCGACTTTGTGCCAAGCACTGAACTAGACATTTAGGATGAAATGGTGAAGAAAGTTGTCCTGTTGTAGCCCCACTCCATGCTTCATTCAACACTTACTAGAATGTTCTTTTAAAACATTAGAACTGACATTTCTTGAACACTTAACATATGGAAAGTACTGTTTTGAGCCCTTTATGCATTGTGTTATTTACTCTTTACAACAGTCCTGTGAAGTAGGCACTATTGCGATCACCATTTTACAGCTGAGGAAAAGAAGGCGCAGGGAGGTTAAGTCACTTGTCTAAAGTCGCCCATGCACCCAGTTACGGAGGCACAATTCAAACCTCGTCGGTCTGCCTCCAGTTCCATTGCTCAGCCTATCCTCTGAGTGGAAGTCCACAGAATCATCCATGTTTTACGAGTAAGAAAGGAAGTGATAAACATGGGAAATTCCTGGCCTGGCATGTGAAATCATTTCCAATCAAAAGTTAAAACAAAAACAAAAACAAAAAACTTCAATTCATTTCCTAAACATCTTCCTTTTTAGATGTTCAAGTGAGCTCGCTCTCTCTCTCTCTCTCTC